AATATTAATCTATATATCTATATAATTATTAATCATTTATATTTGTTTTTAATTAAAATGCCAGAAAAAAATTAATTTATTATAAATATATTTTTCTAAATTATATATATCTATATTTAATATAAAATAATTAAAATGATATTAATTTACTGCTTAATATAGTAATTGTTTAGATATATAATTTATTATTATTTTAATCATATCTAAAATTAATAATGCGATAATAATATTTTTTTATAATTATTTTAACAATCAATGGCATAATTAATGGTTAAGCTATTAGATTACAAATCTATTATTAATATTCAAATATTTAGCAAATAAGTCATAATTTAGATCACATGTACTGTTAATTTAAAATAAATTATATAATTTTCAATCACTTGTCTAATGAGACACATAATAATTAAAGAGTCAATAATCTAATCGCAGATATTTTTTTGTTACCAGTTATGCCTTACTTAAGTTATGTCTATAAATATTGCAATTAATCGCTTTTCAATCAATCAAACAATTTTTTAAGATTATAACTAATACTACACGAGAAAAAATTGTTAAATAAATAATAATACAATTTTAGTTTTAGCAAATTTCCTGATTTTATAGTAAATTAAAATATATATTTTTTTTGGGGGGAAAATTCTCAATAAATAATGTATAATATTTAAGTATTAATAGATTTAAAATAAATAAATAAATAAAATTTTGTATCAATGAAAATTGCATGTGTGCTCAATGAAATGCACCGTTAGTTTTTTATATAAGACTAAATTAATTTTTAATATTATTAACACTCACTCWCTCACTCACACACACACACACACACACACACACACACACACACACACACACAGAGAGAGAGAGAGAGAGAGAGAGAGAGARAGAGAGAGAGAGAGAGAGAGAGAGAATTTCACTTAACTTATTGATTATTTACTGCTTTTGATGACATAATTTAAACTTTCATCAAAAATATTTTTATAATATTTTTAATAATAATAAATATGTTATTAAAACTATTTTTAAAAACTATATTAGTTTATTGTGGACAATAAAAAATTTAAATATTAGTATTAACTAAATTATTTGTATTTGATTTTTTTTTAAAAATATACTACCGTATTATAGTACATAAAATTATAGTRAAATAATTATTAAAATATACAATAATTTAATAACTGGTAACATATAATGTAAAATTTATAATCACTATGTTTTTGAATTAAACTAATTGAATCTTAATTATAATATATTAAACTATATAATTTTATGGGAAATAATAATCTTAATTTTTTTAGTTAGTTTTATTTTCATTTTTGTTTTATCAAACAAATTACTATTATGTGACATCAATGTAATAAACATTATACATGTAATAATGTTATGAACTTTATGTTTTTAAAATAAAAATTAATTTAATCAGTTTTTGGACATCAGTTTATGTATGATTACATATAAAAACTAATTCGTGTAATAAATTAAAAACAWTTTATGTATTCATATAATAATTGTTATCATTATTTAAACAACACTTCCGACTTTTTTTTAATATAAACTTTAATAATAATCAAGTGTTTCAATAATTAAATACAACTTCAGTTAACTATTTTCTAGTTAATCAACAAGTATTACAATACGTATATACAGTATATAACAACATAATGTCAGTGAAAAATAAAAATTAAATATATGCTATTTGCTTGACTAATGTTTACTTATAATATATCTTTTATTTTAATTAGTTAAAGAAAAAATACAAATAATAATAATTTTAAAATACAATTATATAGATTAGACCAAAAGTTTCTCACTGAAAGTATATTATTAAAAAGATATTAAATTATATTTTTTCAAAAATAAAAAATTATTAATTAAAGGTTATTTATTTTTAATAATTATAAATATAATATAATAATAAATATGTCTCTTAGAGAATAATTATAATGCAATTTATAGACAAAAAAATACCATTATATTATGGCATCTAAAAAATATTATATAAAATTATTGTTTATTTTTTAATAATTAAAAACTAATAAATAGATGAGAGAGAGAGAGAGAAATTATTATAATTTATTTGATTTTCCTTTATTTGTTTATTTATTTAATAATTCATTTTTTCTTATAAAAATATATAGTATTTATATATATAACTAATTATAACATTAATAATGAAATTACATTTTTTTAATCAAAAATATCTTTAAAAATACAATTAATAAAAAACTAAAACTAAAACTTTTAACAATTTCTCAAATGTTTTCCTAATCAACGGTGAGATCTTTAAAAATAAACACAAAAAACAAATAAATAATAAAATTTATTTATTTGTTTTATAATTAATAGTTTTGCAATAATACTATTATTAAAAGTAGCAATTATGGCAACACAWTATATTAATACATATATACAATAAAGTAATAATAATTAATAATAAAAATATAATTTTTATTGTTATTTTAAATAATATATTATTATTTACAAACAAAACGGTAATACACTGTTGTTATAATTAACTTAAAAAACCCATTTTTAAATCATGATTAAGGCCTCACAAATAAAATAAAAATATTTTTTTTAAATTAAATATTTCGTGATTCACCAGTAGATAGAGGAATAAAKAAAGAGAGAGAGAGAGAGAGAGAGAGAGAGAGAGAGAGAGAAAGAAAGAGAGAGAGAGAGAGAGAGAGAGAGAGAGAGAGAGAGAGAGAGAGAGAGAGAGAGAGAGAGAGAGARAGAGAGAAGAAACAATTGGGATTACATAACAAACAAATAAACAACAAAATATATAAAATAATACATTATATTTGTATGATATAATTGTAAGTCTATTCAAGAAAAAAACATTTTGTATGCCATAAGTTCAGTGAAACAAAATAATAATTTCTTAAATATTATAACAATAATGATAACAAAAAAAATTGTTTGCATCAAATATCTAATATATATATATATATATATATATATATATATTACACTATTAGCTAATTATTTCGAGTAACAGTTATTTATTTATTTATTGAGAAATAATACTGTAATTTAATTTTGATAATTTAAAAATATATATTTATTATATACACTGTATTGTATATACTGTATACTATTTGATAACTTAAAATTGATGGTCATTAAGAAAAAAATTGATATTACTAAATATCATTATTTTTTAGATGTCATTACTAACATTATTACTAACATTAATAAAGTAATATATAATTATAAAATATTTATAAACATTAGTTTTTTTTATTAATTTGTAGTTTACAATTTAAATCTAAGGTAGCTTAATTTGTTTATTTTGATAAATTAAGTGATAAAATAAATTGTTTTTAAAAAATTATTTTTTTCGAGTAAATTGATACCAATTATCTATCATATAATATTGTACTATGAAGTTCATAGTATAAACAAGTCAATCAATTTTTTAGGTTTTTAAAAAAGTATATTTTAAGTCACCCCTCCCAGGTCAATTATAATCAAAAATAATATTTTTTTTGTTTAAAAATATATATTTCTATTTTTATCAATTTTTCTAGTTTAAAATAACAAGCATTTACACTATTGTAAATAACTAATACATGGAATAGTGTTATGTCAAACACAAACACACACAWACACACATAATACACACATACATACACACATACATACACACATACACACATACACACATACACACATACACACATACACACATACACATACACACACACACATACACACACACATACACACATACACACATACACACATACACACATACACACATACACACATACACACATACACACATACACACATACACACATACATACACACATACATACACACATACATACACACATACATACACACATACATACACACATACACACACACACACTAAAAAATAAGAGATCAATAAAATCATTTAATTATATACACTATAAATGCTAACTAATCGTATGGTTTATTAATACATTTTTTGGTGTATCGGATTAATAAAGTACTAGTGTTAGGCTGTGAGGACCGTTAGCTTTATTTTCTTCAATAAGGTCTCTCCCTTTATATATATACTGTATATATATATATATATTTGTGCTCTAATTTGTAAAATTGAGGTCTCATTTTGTGTGTATGAGTCCAAAATTATATTTTATATATAAATTTTACGATTTTATATACTTATATATATATACACTTTTTTATATATATAACTTGTTTGTAATGGTGATTAAAAAAATTTTTTTGGTGTGTTTGCTAATCATTTGGCTAACAATCTATCCATCAATGGTTACACCAGTTTTTTAACATACAGTTCCCTTATAAATATAATTGTTTTTGTTGTTACTTTATTGAACAGGCATTACTCCGCAGGCATCCAATATTGGGAGGCATTGCCAATACAGTCAGATTGGGTGCCAATATTGGGTGTCTATCTATAAAACACACATATACTGTATATATTTTATTAGTATTTTTATATAAAATATATATATGAAAAAAGTGATTAACATTTGGTTTCTTAGAAATTACAAAATTACAAAATCACAGTTTAGTTTCATAAAAATATCTCCGACCTTAAGTGTGTGCACACGTATTGAGAGAGATATTACTTTTGAAAAAAATTAAGTTTTTTTGGTGAGATAGAGAGAGACTTTGAACCCCATTAGTTTAAGCTGTCGTTCCTTGAGAGCTCCCAGTGCCCTAACCTGTGCACCGATTTTATTATTATTTTTGTTGTTTCAATTACTACTATTCCTCTAAATGTAAAAAAAGTTTCTTTTCCTCATTTTTCGGACTGATTTTTTTTTTGGTGTGCGATTATATACACTAAAAAATCATTAAAAGTTTTAGTTGTCAGCCATTGCCGTGTGATTTGTCTCCCTATCCTATCCTATCTCTATCTATTCAAGAGGAAAGTTGTCTATATTGCTCCAACAACTGTCCATTTTTTTATTGTATAGTTAGTCGACCAAACAATAATTTAGTTTAACAGTGAATTTRTTATATTACCAGAAATAATGATTGAATATTACTTTCTAAGAGGTATTAATATATTTTTTTTGTTAATTAATTAMTTAATTAATTTTTTYACATTTGCAATGTAATTGCAATGCAATTTTCTTTTCTAGTGATTATATAAATAAATTGTYAAATAATTTATTGTAATTTAATATTGAAATATATAATTAAAAAATTTCATAAATATGTGATTATTCTATATATAATTATTACTCTTATTATTCATAGCTTTTTGTTTCGCTCTATTGGGTGTAACACTTGTATGGACCCAACGGCCCCCACAAACCGTTAACACCAATAACAACAACAATAACGCCAACATTGACTACGATGACGACATATCAGGAATTCAGGCTCCCGGTTCCCGGGATGTGCCTGTGTTTGTCAACGTTTATACACACCCGAAAACCAAGTTCACCTGTGCAGACAAACAGGCCGGCCAGTACTACGCCGACCCGGAGACCAAGTGCGCCGTCTACTATGTTTGCATAGCTAACGAAAGAGGTGGTCTAAGTCCCCAGAGCTTTGCCTGTCCTAACGGCACAATATTTAGCCAATCGACACGTGTGTGCGCGTCGCACGAGCAAGGTATTTATATATTTAGTATTATTTCTACTACTAATATTGATAACTAAATGGTGGGGAACTGTATATGTAGTCTATTGTCAACTATCGGAGCGATTCTATGATGCCGTTCACGGAAATATCGACAGCAAAGGCCAGGAAGAACACTACCGACCGACGCCATTACAGCCGTGGCGTAAACAGCAACAAAACGTCAGACCAGCCCAACCACCACCACCGGCACATCCCAGTCCTCCTCAGGCAGCACCGCAACCTCAATCGAGATCGCCAGCGCCTCAGGTGAGACCACAGATCCAAAGAGACCGGCTTCAACCCATTAGACCTGCCATACAGGCAACGCCTAACGCAGCACCAGCTGCTCCAACATCTCTGACATCCAGACGCAGTCAGTTTGTACCGCAACCACAACAACCTGTAGCAGCTCCCGTCACACCAGCACCGGCTGCCCCGCAACCGCATTCTCCAGCACAACCGGCTGCGGCACCCGTAGAATATGAATACGAATATGTTGACTATCCGTTACCAAATGAAACTTTGCCGGCACTTAATCGACCTGTCAGTGGTGTCCAACCAGCTGCAGGAGCTGCTGGTGCCGCCCGTAGCAAACGTGACACTACATCACCCGCCCGACGTAAAGGTCAACTTCCGTCGCCTTTTGACTTTCTATCGGCTTCTCATATAATAACATCATTCAACTGCGAGGACAAAGTGCCCGGCATTGCATACGCCGATCCTGAAGCCGACTGTCGTATGTTTCACGTATGCATTCCCCTAACAAAAGGAAAACTAAAAGACTATCAGTTATACTGTGACCCAAATAAGGCGTTCAATCAGCAAACAGGTAGCTGTCAGCCACTTGAAGGGGTCAAATGTCATAAAAGTCACAAATTTTATGTCTATAATAAATGGTTTCGACCTCATGAGTCCAGAAAAGACTCGTGGAGACACATCAAGAAAAATGCCATCAAAATTAAGTCATAAATATTTTAAATATTAATAATTAATAATAATAATAATAATAATAATAATAAAATCATTAATATTCTAATAACAATACAATATATATTATTTTTTCAATTCAGTTAATTTTATTATAAATTGTTTTTATAGCAGTTTAGTATATATATTATTGTTATTAACTCATAGTTAGCATAATAATAATAATAATGATGATAATGGTAACGCCAACAAAATCAATCATTATATTTTTTAACAATAAATTATTATATTTTTTTATTTAAAAAACACATTATTATAGGTTAATATTATATAGAATATAACAGTATAATAAATATACAATATATATATAATAAAATAATAATGTTTAAATAATATCGAGATTGCCCTCAATTAGGTGTAACAATGATATAATATGTAAGATTTGAAAAATCATTTTTTTATTATCATTTTTCTTGTATTTTATTATCCAATTTATATTTATATTAATATATATTATTTTGTAAAATGTTTTAAACAACGATTTCTATTAATATACTTTTATTTATAATTTATTATTATTATTATTCATTTTTTTTATAATGTGCCATCAATTTTAGTATAATTTGTTAATAGGTGTGTATTTTATAGATTTATTTTGAAATTTTCTAAAAAAAACTGCTAATTTTTTAACTTTTAAATTATATATTTATATATTTTTAAAAACCTATAAAAAATATTTTGTAACAAATCTTTCATTTTTTTCTATTTTTCTAAAAATCAATATAACATAACAATTTTTAATTATTAATTATCATATATTTCAAACTAAATGGTTGTAAAAATTTATTAATAAAAATTTCAATAAACGTAATTTTGATGTCATATTATTAGACAATTATTTACTGATATATTTGATAATTATATTAAAAATTTAAATTTTTATAATTGTCTCATAAACCTATTTATCAGTAATTTATAGTTTTTAAATCATTGAACTTGATATTATTGTCTAATAATATTTTTTAAATATTTTTATAATTTATTATTTTAGAAACGTAAAATAATTTATCAATTATAAATTAGAAATAAAAAAGTTGTAAATAATAATAATAGTTATTATTATTATTATTTGTCAATACTTTTTTATTGAAGATATTATTATACAATATATTTATTTTTAGTGTATTTATTACTATATGCTATATAGTATATACCGTAATGTATAATATAATAAAAAAATATAAATTATTTTTTGTTAAACTTAACCAAACAAAACACTATATAACAAAATAATAAAGCAAAATGTGTTATACAGACAAATAAACAAAAAAAACTACTGAAAAATAATAAAACTTGAAAATTGAATAACAATACACTTGAAAATAGCATTTGAATAATAATCATATATTTTAATTGTAATCAATTTATTAGAGTAATTGCATATCTTTATGATATTTATTTTTTATTTTTACACATGAAATAATTGTTATATTATTCAAAATTGTTTTATAGGTAAAGTAAATTTAATTTTTTAATTTACTTTTTATTATAATTATTATATCATTTTAGTTATAGCTTTTTTCTGTATGTTTTAATTTTTTGATGCTGTTTATTATTATCAATAAATAATAATAATAATCAACAATAACAATACATATGCATTGAAAAATTACAATTATATAAATAGTAAGTATATCATTATTAAAACATATATATATATRTATATAGTTATAGTTATATAAATAAAAGTCTAATTTTGTATAACTGGAGAGTTAAAAAACTTTTTTGAGGTCTGAAATATTATTATCATTATTATTATAATATTGCAAAATGAATATATATTTATATATTATAAATATAACACATATAAATTTATATATGTATAGAATAATTTTTTGATTTTTATTTCAAAATTATATTTTATATATATATATCACAAACACACAAATATATAAATACTATATATACAGTATATATAAAACAAGATCACTATATGAGTGAGTTAAACGTGTTTGCAATTCAAATTAAATGTGAATTACTATTTATTTTTTTTCAAACAAACACAAAAATAATAATTAAATGTATAATATATAATAAATTTCTATACGTATTATTTTTAAATAGATTACTGTATGTATAATTTAATTGAGCATACAGTACAGTACATTTAAATTATTTGAATTTTTTTTATTAAATACAAGTCATTTATCAAAATTTATTAGTTTTTTTTGTTAGTTAGAATCTGCCATATATTTTGTTCAATGATTTATCTTTAGTTAAATATCGTTTAAATTTTATTAAATAACTTGTGTAATAATAATAATAATAATAATAATAAAAATTAAACATGCTCATATGTCAATGTTTATGTCACTTTGGATAATAGATTAGGTGATAGATAACAAATATAACTGATAACATCATAACCCATTACTGTTATAAATTGGTTACTGTTTAATATTATAGATAATATACAGTATTTTTACTAGAAAATTTTTTTTAATTATTTTTTGAACAAATTTATTTTAATAGTTTTCTTATTTTTTTGTAAATTTTTGTTACATATTATGCATTTTGAATATAAATAAATATTTTTTTAAATAAAATTTATTAATTAATTTTCACAAAATGCCAAAAATATAAATTTTTATTTAAGACATTTGACAGTCATATGGTGTATATATGAATATATATATATATATATATATATATATATATATATTTGGCATAGAATTTACAGTACAGTAACTACTAAACAATATGATGTGCTTTATTAACATTAATAATATAATATTTTTGTTGTTGAAAAATTTGGAGCAATTTTTCTAATTAAATAATTTGAAGTTCACCAAAAAAAAGTCATAAAGTTTTTTTTTCAATCATTCATTGTAATAAATGTTTACTTTTTTTCGTGTGTTTTATTTTTTCCACAATTATATGCTGTATATTAAATTTTTTAAAAAAAATTATCTGTTAATTATAGCTTGTATTGTCAGAAACTAAACAATTAATTAAATAATTAATTTTTAAAAGTATTAGTTGTTAATTAATTTTTTGTTATATTAATATAACTATACAATATAATAGTATCGATATTTTTCAAATAAAATATTTTCAATTATTAGTATATATATATTGTAAAATTTATACAGTATTATTATTATTAACATAATTATTTTAATATTTTAACATAAAAGTGTTTATAAATAAAACATTTAATAATAGTTCACTAATATTCACAAAAATTTTTAATGAAATAAAAAACTTATTTTTTTAATTAAATTTACATAACTTGTCTAAAATTAATAGTAACAATTTTTTATATGTATATAAAATATATGGCACAATATATGGTAATCGATGGCACAGTTTGTTATTATTATTATTTTTWYATATAATAAGGAAAAGGGTGGTAAATTAAATGCATATATTTTTTGTTACAATTTTTTATACAATTTATTATTTATTTCATTATAATAAATATTGGATCACAGTATTATAATAATTTAATATACATAATAATAATAATAATAATAGTTGAAATAATAATGTTTTTCCTATTTATTATAATTTGAAAAATAATGTATAAATATCTAAATGTGAATAAAGATTTAATATTGAATCTATTGTTTTTTGAAAAATAAAAGATAAAATTATTTTTTAATACATTACATACAATTTAATTAAAATATTGTTGTTATTTTTGACATAAGTATAGCACTTATTTGCTGATGAATTGTTATTTATATTCATAAAAAAAGAATATATATATAACAATAATAATAATATTAAATAACAAAAATAAAAGTTTTTTAATACAAAGTTTTTTTTGTTAAACTTTTTTATTATTATTACATTATTATCAAAAAAAAGTAAATTATATTTTTAAATTTGATGCGATATATGCTCCAAATTTATGCTATATTAATGGGATGATAACATTTAAAATACATGTAATTATTTTTAAGAATATTTTTATATTAATAAAATCAATTCAAATGCATTTAATTTAATTATAAATCAAATATATTAAAATAAACTGTTATTTTTTGTTGTTGAAATTTTTTTTGTAGTAAAACTAATATATAAAAACAGATTTTCTATTATTATTATACACTATATTGGGTGTATAATCTTATTATGTAATAACTTTTAATATATTTAATTTTATTTATACAATTTAAGATATTTATTTTCAAAAACTATAATTTTGAATTTAAATTCAAATATTGTTATTTTATATAACAAACACACAAATACTGGTATATATATAATATATATAAATATATTGGTGTACTATATTTAGATAACAAGTCAAACGTATAAATGATTTCAATTAATATTTTTACTATTTTTATATAAAAAAATAACAGATAATTTTTTATTATATTATTTTACTGTTGAATATGTATTTGAACTAAAATATTACAAAATATAAAATAATAATATTTTATATTTATTTAGTTTGTTTTCATTATTATATAGTTTTATTACGAAAGTAAATATAAATATTTTCTATATTTCAATACTCAAACACGAATTTAATATAAATTTTTAAAATATTTTTTTTAATAAAAAAATTATATTAAACTTTTGTTGCTATTTTGCATTACTATAATACTAACCTATAAACACTATAAAGTGTATCAAATTAATAGAATTTAAGTATTTTAAAAATACACAAAAAAAAATCTAGATTTTGCATAAACTTTGCTACAAAAATAAATTATATATATATAAAGTATATATACTTAAATAGAAAAACTATATATATATATAAATAATGACAATATTATCGGTCAAAATTGTGGCCCCAAACTAACAAACAATTATTTCAAGTTCAGGTCCACATATTATTATTATTATTTACTATTAAAATCATTATTATTTTTTGTAACTGTTATAATGATCTTAAAATGCAACCAATTTCTATGACATTTATCAAATATATATATATATATATATATATGTTTGCCTCTTATTTTCTCATTTATTTATCACTCGTGGCTATAGTTTTTTTTGTTGAAAAAAATACAAACAAA